AAATATATAAAAGAAAGTAAATAGAGGTAAAAAAAAAAAAATTATAAGAATAGTTAGGGAAAAATTACAGCCTATTTAATTTGAGGAGGTGGTAGCAAGGGAAATGAATATTGTCGGAAGGGGGAGACTAAGGTTTTCACGCCCATACGCCCCCCCCCCCTTGACTACTCCTCGTCGTCTGGTTCGCCAGATTTGCAGTGATCCCCCTCTCAAAGGGCGACCCAGAAAATGGCAACTGAGCTGGCCCCAATCAGCCGCATTCATTATCTTATCACCCCGCACCAATAGCCCCACTGACTGGGTCCCTTGCCGCCAAATCAGCTCTGCCGCCGTCACCGACGGGACCCCCTGCGGGCGACGAACCCGTCCCCGGCTCCACGAGTGACTCGATCATGACCATGGCAATCATCCGCTTGCCTGCCCTTGACTGGCAAGCGAACCCGATCCCTCTCTTCTTGCTTGCTTGCAGCTATCAGTTATGCAAGCCATCAGTGCTTGCACAAGTGCGTCAACTGGCCGTTCGCTCCGCATTCGCCGTCGCTGAAGCTCACCGACATCGTCACCTTTGGTATGGCATGCCTCACACGCTTTAACCATCAAAACATCAGGCTTGAGAGAATGAAGCAAACATGTCAAACAGCCTGTTACTGTAAATTTCCTGCTGTACCGCTTTTGTAATATCGTAATCCGTCAAAGTCCTACAAGAAAACCAGACAAGCCGTGTGCGTGGCATCTATCGATGCTGAACCACCACGCTTGCTCGTCGGGATCCCACCCTCAAACAAAAAGAAACCTCCATAGAGCGCCCTGCAACATATCGAGGCATCCGCCCCGGGGCACTTCCGCTTGATTTGAAAGACGCTTTGAAAAACATACTATCCTGCTGTCGCTTACATGCTCCTTCTCCGTTCCTCCTGCTCCGTCTGTCGTGTCTCAGACTCCTCGACCAACGACGCTCTTCTCGTCTGATCATGGTCCCGCAGCCCAGGCAGCCTACGACTCGGCGCAGGGTCCTTCTAGTCGATCTTCGCGTTGGCGAGACTCCTGGCTCCGGGGTTGTTCAAGTCGTTGATCTGCCTTATGACACCTCTCTTGTACTTGCTCTTGTTACGGAGCCGCTTCCGAGCCACCATGACGGGGACCGAACTCTTGGTGACGAGGTAGTTCGAGAAGGACCCAAGAATGACACTGCAGAAAGCCGTTAGCGAAACCGTCACACACGCCAAGAAGAATACCTGGCACTCACCCTTTGAGGGCACTGCGGCCACGGCTGCCCAGAATCACCAATGTCGGGCTGACATGGTCAATCACCTCCGTGATCAGGTGCTTCGGGTTCTTGCAGTGTATGACCTCTACAATAACCCGCACTTGCAGACGCGTTCGTCGCAGCAAGCGCTCTACCCGCTCCTGGATGTCGTACACTGCACGGCGGCGCTCTTCCTCAGCTCGACCGCGCTCTCTACTCGACGGCGCTGGTGATGACGAATCGCTCGAGTTCAAACCTGAGGCTCGCAGGAGATGAGGGTATGACGGGCCATTCGTCATGCCTGGCGGTGCCGCCTTGTTGCTCGACATGGCATTGATGGCCGCGGCTTGTTCCTGGTGGGCCGCGCGTTCATCAGGAACCATGACACCCTCAGTCGAGTAGATGCCCGTCTCTTCGTCCACGCAGTAGATGCAAATAAGAGTGTCGCCATCTCGCAGGACTGTCCCAATGGTCCATTCCAGTGCATGTGTCGACTCCTCGCTCAAGTCCGTGGCCACCAGGTACTTTCTCAGCCTGTGATGCTCCTCTTCGGCTGCTTTCTGGATCTGATGGAACTCGCCACGCATTGTGATGAGGAGAGTGCGGGAGAACTCTGGATTGTTGAGGACCTCTGTCCGAGAGAACGCCAGTCTCTGGGCGCGCTTGATGTCGTTCAGCTCCTCCTCGTCATCCGAGTTCACGGCAGAAGCCATTCCCGAACCAGGCTCGTTGTCGAACGCCGTGGTAGGGCGGACGCCAGCCTTGTGCTTGGTCTTATCGCCGGTGGGTTTGGTGAGTGTAATAGACGGTTCGTCCAACAATGACTTGTACTTATACTGCGGTTGCTTGGAAGTGACTGCAATGCCTGGACATTGGTCAGTACGTCATTCGACTTTCCAAGGGGGTTAACTCACGCTCTTCCTCGGCGGCGGCAAGCAGACTCAGTGTCTTACCGTTGCCTTTGCTTGTCTCGGAATGCTTTGCTCCGCTCTCTGAAGGCCGAGGCGACATCTTACGTCCTCTCTGGTTCTCCTCGTCCGAAGAGCTGCGCGCATCGTCGTCGCTGCTGTCCTCTAGCTCTTCCCCGTCAGGACTGAGGTAGTCTTTCGTCAAACGGCCGACACCGCTTTCGTCTGCGCTCGTCTTCTTGCGACCAGCCAAGCCCGAAAGACCGCCACCCGAGAACGCGAGGTTCGCATCGGATAATTTGCGGTAGGCCGTTGTGATGTCCACTACGCGGCCGTCGTCGAGAACAGCCGTGCCGGGGATCTGCTGTAAGCGACCGCTGATGTTTGGCGAGTGGGAGCGCATGCTCAGCCGGCCATGGGGAGACTTGGACTTGCTGCCTTGTCCTCGGCTTGAACTCCTACCGCCGAGGTTGATGGAGGGATTGCTAGCAATGGAGCCATGGCGTGCTCTCTCGCCGGGAAGTATGATGCCGGGGATTTCGTTGCCGCGGATGACATCAGCCATGACGCCACCCGGCTTCTTGACGCCGGGTCCCTTGCCGCCTTGGGTGTTGCGCTTCGGCAAAGCCTGGCCAATGTTGTTGGTAGAAATATCGGAGAACTGGTAATCGGCAGTGGGGTCCAGGCGGTTTGGGAGGGCGCGCGGGCCGAAGCTAGGCTTCTGGGAGTGGGAGTCGGAGAAGGTTCGTGGGTGAGGGGCGCGGGATTCGACGGGGGAGCTGGGGCCAGCGCTGGCAGCTTGCTTGGGGGCCGATGTATCGATATCAAGCATGCTTCTCACGGGAGGTGGAGGGCCGCCAATATCCAGCATGCTGCGCACGGGCACGGCGTGCGTCCTGGCCGGGCTCATTCTCCCCGTATCGTCGCCGACATCCAACATGCTTCTCACGGGAGAGCGGGGTGAGGTGTAAGGCGAGGAAGAGCGTGCGGAGATGGGGGAGGTTGGATTCCAGGCGGATGATCTACTGGCGGTACCCTCGAGAAGGGCCAAAACGTCCCTTCTCTCCTCGTCCAGCATGGCCTCCATGCTCATAGGTTGATGCGACATGCTGAAGGGTAGCTCGGGTTGGTCTGCGCTCTTGGCGAGGAGGGTGCCTCGGTCGGCAATGCGCGGGAGTCGCGTGTGCGATGGAAGAGCGGGAGCAGGTCGTTGGCACGATGGCGATGATGGTACCTATCAATGTATCGTATGCTTGAAATGTAATAAGGGGAGTATGATCGGGTGAAAAGGTTGAGAGTCTTTGGTGACTGTGGTAAATCTAGCGGGGGATGATTTTGCGGTGTTGGCGTTGGCGATGCAAGTCGTTCGGCAGAAACAGCATCGTGCTCGGGGCAGTAAGTGGAGGAGAAAGAGAGAGAGAGAGAGGTCGGTGTAGGTTTCCTAGATCATGGCTCCGGGGGGGAGGGGCCAGATGAGAAGTGCGGAAGTTGCGCTGGGTGCGTAGGCCTAAATTAGCTTGTGAAGCACAGCACGAGTCGTCGAGTTTTGCCAAGACCGGCTGAAGGCGCAAGAACAGAAATAGTCAAGTGGTCGTAAGGAGGGAGTGGCAGGTAGGTTGGAAAGAAACAGGAAGCGAAAAAAAGGTGCAGTGCGGTGTGGTATGGGGAAGAAACAAACAAGGAGTTGGACGAAGGTACCGCGCGCACCTACGATTGGTAGCAGCGGCGTTGGTGGATGGAGTAAGAAGGGAAGGTATCCTGGTCCAAGTTCCAGCCCAATGCGTGCCCCCCCGTCTTGTTAGGTATACGGAGTATACTATGTAGGTTTTCCCCAGTCGGTCGGTGGCGTGGTGTGTGTGTGTGTGTGGCAGTGGCAGTGGCACCGCAAGCGCAGGCTGAGAACGAGGCAGAGTATTACCTAGTGGAGAATCCGTATTTGGGACGCACGACGCAAGCTGGCTGTTGTACGATAGGACGAGAACGAGGACGAGACGAGGAGAAGGAAAGGAGGAGGGACGGGAAGGGGATCGGGGGAGAGCGGGGTAGATGCTCCGTATTTAGCGTCGACAATCTTTACGTCTGTCTTTGTCACTCGGAAACAACCTGTAATAATTATCCAGTGCAAGAAGAGGCAAAGAAGCAGGGACCTGGAGTCTCTTCCTCTTCAAACACCAAAGAGATCTTCAGCTTACTTCCAGCCCTCTTTTCTGCGACCTGCCAATGGAACAGGTCCATGGATACCTTAATCCCGTCTTCTCCAATTCCGGCCTAGCGACTGACCCAGGCCCGTTTGGGCCCTTCCCTTCCCCCCCAGAAACCGTATCCGTCCGTACAAGTGCTTCGTCATCACCTGTCTTGGTACGGGTGGTACCTGCCCACTCTGGAAACCCGGTGAGGTACAACCTCGTCGATCCCAACCTTGGACTGTCTTCGGGAGTTTGCTTGTCGAGAGGCCCGCGACCCTCAGGCTGGGCTGCCTCCGAAGAACCTCGATAAAAGTCAATCGGATGATGGAACGCACCGGCAACCCAACTCTGACTCCTGTCTGCTGATGGACGGACGCATGATGCGGGTACCTATATGCAAACCGTCCAAAGTGGACGACGACAACGACGGCCACTTCCCATGAATGATTGGACCGGCTGGGTACTCGCCTCTCACGCTGGTTGTGTACGTACCTGGCCCCGGCCGTCTCCGTGCTTAAAACAACAAAAATCCCGGGCTAAGAACCACTTACAAGATACCTATGAAGGACTTGGTTTCAGAGCCCGCTCGCTGCCTTGTCCTGGCACCTAGGTACCTCGGCTGAAATCAAGAGAACGGCGAGTAAATGACCATCATAAGCCCACTGGGAAAAGAATGAAACATGAGACGATTCTATGATGCGATGGCGCTGCACACCTGGGTTTGTTTGTGTATAACGGTCATCGCCGAACCATCCTTTTTGCAAAGCAAACTGTCTGTTAGTCAGTGACCCATTCATTCCCTGCCCCGTCCCCACTACGGTTTGTGCGTTTGCGATTTTCTCTCCGCCCCATTCGGTTCGGTTCGCTTTTTTCTGATATGTGATTCCGTTGATGGTATCTTCCCCAGGGCCCTTGTCCTTCCCGATCTTCACCGCCCGCCGCCTCCGTCATCTTCCGTCTCGTCTCCATGCTCCCTCCCCTCCTTGTCCCGTCTTGTAACTCTCGGGACGTAGCAGCCGGAACTTCTCGCATTTTCACAGTCCACCATGGCGGACCTTGCAGTGCCGGACGCACAGTGCGATGACGACGCCTGCGTCCATCGCCAAGAACGCCCGCCTCTTGGCGATAAGACGCCGGCAGCTCGCGTGCCGTGCGCGGTTGGCGAGGCATCGCCCCGTGCTTGCCGCCGCCGCCGCCGCCGCCGCCGCCGCAGCGGTGGGCGGCGCCAGATAGGCGATGACCCAAAACCTGTCACGCATAACCCGCGCAGGCGCCGCTGAGGGTTGCATGAAGTTTGTCACATGAAGACCCTGTGGACTTTGCGCAACACGTACATGTCATGTACCTAGTAGCATCCCACAGGAGTGGTTGGTGGCGGAGGCTGAGCTGGGTGGTCTAGCCGTAGTGTTTGACCTCACCCAGTATGCCGGGTCTAAACCAACGGGCCAACGTAGCGACAGCATATGCCGTCGAGACGCCTCAATAACATGCAGGGTGTCAGATGTCCAATCTCATCTGCGTCAACCATTGAGAGATACTGCTTGTTCCTCAAGGTTCGAGGTCCGTCTTCTATTCTCTGGCAACAAATGTGTCCAAGTTTAGCCTCGCAAGGGAAAGCCACGGCCTCGGGCTTGCGATCCATAAGCACACGCTCCCTGACCCTGGCATTCGTAAAAAGACAGTCTAACAAGAAAGGCTCCTCTCGAGCACTTGGCATTGTTCGGTTGAATATAGTACAATATACAGACTTTGCTTACACTTTTTGCTTCCTTGTCGCAACAGCAGTCTCCCACTGTCTCTACTTCTTGGCGTTTGCCTTGACTGGCTTGACGTTCAAGTTGGCACGCGTCGCCGTGCCGAGCTTGTGCAGCGCCAGCCTCTTGTCCCAGACGCCTGACCGGCCCTCAACGACGGCGATGATCTCCTCGGCCAGCCGGTGAGCAAACTGCGTCCGGCCACTGCCCTTGGACGGCTTCTTGTTGACCGCGTCCAGGATCCAATGAAACGCCGCCCACCGCCTCTGGCGCACGGACAGCGGCGCCGGCAACTCCAGCGGGCGACCACCACCGGCTCCGCCTGGAATGCGGCGGATCTTGACCAGCGGCGCCACCGAGTCGACGGCCAGCGTGAGGTATAGCACGGGGTTCAACGGCAGGTGCGCCGGCGGCGGGGCACCAGGGAGAAGCGGGTATCGCGGGTTGATGATCGGAGGAGGGGAAGTTCGGAGGAAGTTGAGCATCATGGCCATATTCTGCGGAACACGCTCGTCAGCATTCGTCGCCCTCATTCGCACGTGGAACAAAACAAAAAAGTCAGACATGGGGGCCGGCTCACTCTTTGCGCCTGGGCCTTCTTGCCATCCCGCATCATCAAGTTCGTCAACTGGTCGAGCAGGGGATGGTACCGAGACTTGAGGTGGCTGTGTGGCGGAAGAGGGAGCTTTGGCAGGGGGAACTTGTGACCGAGGCGCTGCGGTTTCGGAACCTCCACCTCCTGGGCATTCGCGAGCAGTCCGCCGGAGGCCAGGATTTCGAGGTCGCGTAGGGGGTCACCGTTCGACTGCGTAGGGGGGATGGCGCCTTCGTTATAGAGCGCCTGCTCCTGGGCCTCCGTCAGGCCACCCTCGAGTCCGACGCTCTGGTTCTTTGCGGCGGCGGCGAGTTCCTCCAGTGCTGCGGCGGCCTCTTCTGCTGTTGACTGTGTACATTCCGTCAGCTCTAGTCTCTCTCTCTCTCTCTCCGTGACAACTTCCTGTGGCCCCCATACCTGTTGTCCCGGTGCAGACTCGGGGGCAGTTTGATTCTGAGGGAAAGCAGCATTCTCGGATGGCTTCAGAATCGCAGGCTGGCTCCGTTCGCCCTTGAGTTCGTCGGCATATCCTCTTCTCGTCGCGGCCCAGGCGAGAGGTTCCCGTATGGTGGTGGTGGCCAGGGGTCGGGAGCGCAGGGCGAGCGCTCGACCGGCTGCTCGCAAGCTCGGCCGCAGAGACATCTCTGCTCTATATTCGATACTATCCGAGGTCTTTGGCCGCGAATTGATGTGTATCGAGGCGTTGTCGAGCTGTTGGAAGGGCCTTCTCGTCGGTGTTGGATCGCAGCGAATCCACGAAAATTATTGAGTCGCGCGGCTGTTGCCGGCCGCTCCACACCTCCCTCTCCCCCAATTGCTCTGTGCTTACCTACACAACTGCAGGTTGAGCTTTCCCAGCTCTCGGCGGATAAATCCAGCCTCCGTGTGCCGATCCGCCCGGGTACCTAGGTAGATACACCATCCAGGCCCCACCCCGGTCAGAGGTCGGTCGGGGCCGAGCCGTCACCGACGACCTCCACTCCATTACCTAAGCTTGGCACACCACCACCCTCCCACATCCGCCTGGCTCACCGAATATATGCAGACCTTCTTCACCAATGCCGCCACACCTTTCTACAGTGAACCTGGCTTGCCTTACCCGCCTTGTTTGCTCCAGCCAGCCAGTCACAAGACTCTCTTGCGGAGCGGCTATAGGCCCCTTTTAATCCAAGCCAAGTACCCCTCGCAAAGCCTCGAAACCAACGTCCCCATTCCATCTTATTCCCATTACATCCGACCCAATCCGCAGGACAACCTGTCTTAAAACCCCTCTTACATTCCTTGACCGATGCGCACGACATCCGCATGTCTACGCCATGTCCCGTCTTCCATGTAGTCTGTGTGTGTGGGTTGGTGATGAAGGCACCTGCAATTACCAATCGCTAGTCATCAGGGAAAAATGCAAGACCAAAGTCCCCCCCCCCCCCCCCCCGACCAGTGCCAATCGCCAATGTCAAGTCACGGCCAAGTTCAATCGCGTCCCACTCACATGTCGCCCAACGCTGCCTTCTCACAAACCCGCACAGCGCACAGCGCACACACATACGCACACTCGCAAGCAACAGTCACGATCCCTCGGTGATGTGATGTGACTGTCCTATTTGGTCGGCATGCAGCAAGGTTGCGTGGTCAAACCTGCGCTCATGCTGCAGATTGGGTGCAGAGTCCTGCAGGCGGCATTTAGCGGCTCTTGCCCCTCCCCTTCTCTTCATCCTCCTCTACTTCCACTTCCACAGTCCGACTATTCGCTTGCGCGGTCGCGACATGCTCTGCTATCTCCTGCGGGCCAGTTTGTGGTTCCAGCCGTCCTTCTGTCGTCAGCAAGCTAGTGCACCATATGATTAAGCTTCAGGTTCACAAGCTGCGTGCTGGGCAGTGTATTAGAGCCTCGGAGATCTGGCTTTGACGTAGGTAGAATCTGCGTCGTCCCGTTGCTAGACCGGCTCCCTAGCTCGTCTCTTTTGTTTTAGCCCAGAGAGAGGAGAGCCACTACGCGCCGACGCCGTACGTATTGCTTTCTTTCCTGCCTTGGTAATAGTAGCACCGAACAAGATGAGATCGTGGGGGACCAACGAGCGGGAGAGTGTCCGCCCTGCCCATGCCAATCGACACCCCTTCTGTTCCCGGCTTTCGTGCCTAATTTTTTGTTGGGGCAAGCTGACCACCGCGAAGCCACTGATGTCTTTTTTTTTTCTTCTTTTTTTTCCCCCGTTCCTCCCCCTCTCTTCAACTCCTCCGAAGGATTCAGTTTGGCCATGTGAACATGGAGAGACATCAATGGCACGTGGATCGAGTACAAATACTGGTAGAAAGTGGATACAAGCTCAGGGGGCAGCGCAAAAAGGAAGCATTCCTTCTACCTCGTCGCAAAGATTGCCAAAGGGGCCAACTCGACCAGTTCGATTTTATTTTTTATTTCCACACACCTTTCCCACCGTTCATCCCTTGCACTCGTGGTTGCTTCTCCCTCGTGACGCAGCTTCGAGAAGAGGAAAAACAAAGTTTACCGAATTTTTGAACCAAATTACGTACAAGGGCGATGTTGCAAACACCACAAAAAAAAGCCCCCCCCCCCCCCCCATGACCGTCCACTGTCTGCCGGTCCGTTCCTGTTCTGCCAAGGTTCTGTCTCATGTCGGAGTTTCTTATCCAGATCGTTTCCACCACGTCTGACATTGTGAGGGACACAAAAGGAAATATACCATGCTACACCCCCCTCCTCCTCCTCCTCCTCCTCCCCCCCTTCCCTTCTCCGGACTGGCCAGGTGGAAATGTTATCGTGTACCGTTTCCCATCAGTCAGCTCGACACAACGCCCAGATTGTTTCCTTCGGAGCCCCAATTGACCGTAGGTAGAAATGTAGTCGTACTCCAATGTCCGTAATGTCCCCTTTCTGCCGTGTGGCATTGGCCAATGTCTCCCAATACCAACTCCAGATGTATTCGTACAAGTGAACAGAGAAATCAGGTAAAATGCGATGAACAAACGTAGAGAAAGGGGGGGGGTAAGGAAGTACGTCAGATGCGGCGCTAGGCGATGATGCTCGAATGGTGTTCGCTACAGCTTGCTGGAGATTTCGCACGTAGGCCTCTCTCTCTCACACTCTCTCTCACCAACTTCCCCTGCTGTTTGCTGGCGAGCTGGGGTTGGACCCGGTGAGGTAATTGAGTGCCATTTCGGCGGCGTCTTCCTTCGCGTTGTTGAGGTTCTTGCCGTCGTACCAGAATCGTGCGGAGAGGGTGCGTCCGTGAACCGTTACTCGACTGGACCAAGCAGTGCGACCACCTATTGGAGAGAAAAATCAGCTACCCGGACACATTCGGCAAGGAGATTGGGCTCCAATGCTCACCACGTCGGTCAGAGACGATCTGGAAGACTGGGGGCAAGATGTTGGCATCGCGACAGGCATCTGTTGTACCAGTCAGATTAGTAAATGTCGTTGACATCGATGCGGTGCCGCCGTACCCTCGAGACGCTCTTGCCAGGTTCCTCCTTGGCTGTTGTACGAAGAAGACATGGCCGCGCTAGTCGAATAGGACTTGTTGGAGTACATGTGGTGCAATGTTGTTATCGAAACGACAAAGAGTGTCTAGAGTTAGGGTATAGTGATCGGACGAGAATCCGTGCCAGGAAGATATTGCTGTTGTTTGTATTGGAGTCGGTTGGGATCGTGGATATGTCTAGACAATCTATAGCGACACTCGGTCGTTCTTATACTCGGATCAGATCGGCCGTGAAACGGATGGGGATATTCCCATTGGAGTAGGAAAGTGTGATGTGGCAGGACAAGATTAGCTCGATGCTGGTCTAGGTGCAATGGGTTTGTTTGCACGACGGATGTCAAGACGGGTAAGGAATCAGTTGGGCTAGAACCCTACGGCATGCTGCATCTTGGGATGGGTAGAGGTGGGAGGAGAGAAAGAGGGAGGAAGATGGGAGGAAGGGGACATGATCCAAAGAAGTAACGACACAACATCATGTATGTCCCAGGTCCGTTTGGGTTTAGAACGACAGGACCGCGTCGATTTTCCGTGTCGTTTCTTTTTTTTTTCTCCGTGCCCTGGTACTTGTCTCTGATGAGGAGCAGCAGCGTCGGACGCGGCGACGGCGGCGGCGGCGGCGGAGGCGAGAAGAGGGGTGTGCCACTTGGGTGTGAGTGCTTTTGCTTCGTCTGATGCCAGACCACAGACCAGACCGGCGGACGTGGGGAGCGTGGTAGTGGCAGCAGAGAACGTCGTGATAAACTTGGGCCCTTGGCGTCATCTTTTGGTTTTTTTTTTCTCTTCCTTTTGGTTGGGGGGTTATCTTATTTTCTCATTCTTTTATTAGTCCGTTTTTTTTTTCTTCCCTCTCTTCCTCCGTTGCCTACGTACCAGTACTCTTTTCCCTCTCACACACCCCTGGAGACATGGCGGTCGCCGAACCCCCCGCGTGGTCTGCCGGTGCATGGGTGCCGATAATCACGGGTTGATGAGCAGGACGCTGGGAATATGGGCTTGTGGGCCTTGAGACAAACTGTTAGTTAGGAGAGGGAATGCATGCTACTTCTGAAGGGAGACCAGGAAATCGCATGGTCTGAGCGAGTTGTTGATTGGGACAAGGCCCGCCAGGGAAGGGAGCCCAGCGGCCGGGGGTGTCAAAACCAAACAGAGCTGGCGTGGAGTGCCGACCCGTCTAGGTGGAAGAGGGAAATGATTGGGAGATGCAAAAGCCACAAAGAACAAGGGTTCGTACACGGCTAGACGAGGGAAGGGGTGGGCGAACAGGTGAGGAGACAGGCGAATAGAGGGTCACAATGAAAAAGGAAGGCAAGCAAGGCGCAAACGGTGGGAAAAGACAGGGTACGAGCTTACCAGGGGTAAAGTGAGACTGGAATCCCCAGGCGAAGAAGGGAGACGGAGGTTACGGAAAGCGGATGCACACAGCCTGGATGTATCCGTGAAAAGCAACATGTGTATCCAGCAATGTACCAATATACGTGCCTGACGTGCTACATGGTACCTGTAGAGCTTTCGTGGGCATGTTCTCGTCCTCGGGCGCAGAGCGAACAACGGAACAGGCGAGCTGTGTGTGTGAATAGCGAAGAAGGGGAGTGAGGGTAGGGATAGCAGCGAGGCTGGAGGGTTCGAGAGGAAGTGCTACGACGGCACCATGTCCACGCAGTCAACGCTTCAGCCGGCCCAGGCTAGTTAATGCCTTTCCAGGGCTGGCTGGGGCTAGCGTTTGTTGTTGATCGGTACGGAGACATACGCCATGAGGTACATGAATTAGCTGTTCTGCGGTATCCGTAAGGTGAGTCAAAAGGCAAGGGTTTCGACGAGAATAGCACTGACATCAGATAGCAAGCCGGCGATTGGGCAATTAGGCCAAGGAAGGCAAATCAGCAAGAGAGACGTACGTACGCAGGTTTGCAGTAGGGCCCGGGTTATGCATGGAGCAGAGCACACACAGAGCAGAGGCCTGGGCATCAGCACCGAGCAGCTCTCAGAGTTCCGGGCTAGCAACGCCAGGGCCCTCTGCGGCGGCTTCGACTCCGCCCAGCCGGTGAAGCGAAGCGAACCGGGGTGGTGATGCGAAGCAGGCCAGGTGGTCAGGCAGGGGAGGAGTGGTGTGCACAAACTCCATAGATTGCGATGAAGGGAAACTCGGTCAGGGAAGTTTGGGCCTCATCGAGACCATCCTGTCAGTGTCAAGCCGGGGAGATCAAAAGGCCGTCGAGCCACGTCGATTTGGATGCACGATGCGCGATGCGGCAGGGAAGGGCGGGGAGAGGCGAGTGCTGTAGCCTGTATGATGTACCCTATCGTATCGTATGGACCGCGATACTGATGCAGTTAGTGGAGAGGGGGGAGGGGGAGGGGGTGGGATCGGGCATCACTCGCTCCTCATCGTCATTTTGGGGTGGGGTAGGTGGGAAGGAAGATCAGGACAGGGCGAACCAGGGCATTTCTGGTAGAGCGGGCCAGATCACATATGATGATGATGATGATGATGATGACGATACAGGTGGTGCCGCTGGTGCCAGGCCCAGTGCTGATGAGGGAATTGTGAATTGTGAAAAGAGAGAGACCACCACACCACGCCATGTATCATGCGGCGGAGGAGGGCTCGACATGCGGTTGTGTATGTATCCTAAGAGCAGCCAGCTGCGTCATGCTTCTCGTATGCTTAGGCTGCTTGTTCAGCTTCGTGCACCCGTGCCCCCAAAGGAACATACCACATAGAGCTGGCGATGGCAGCGCGCGTCTCATGGCGATGGCTGCTTTTGCTGGTCTAGTCCCCAATGGCCATGGCTGGTTCCGGTTTAGGTCAGGTCCAGAGACTTTTGCCGGTGGTCGTGGCCGCAGTTGCAGGACGGGGCGGGATCATCCACAGTGACAGGCGGCCGGCGGGTATGCGTGAATGCAGCTCGGATGCAGCTAAAGCAGGAGGAGCACGTACGAATGGATACCACAGCAGGCCTTGTCTTCCATGTGCCCGTTCTACTCCGTACGTAGTAGACCAGCTCGTGCGTACCTATCCGTACACTAGATTGATAGGGTGAGTAGTGCGTACACTACGTCGCAGACAGGCCAGGGAAAGGTATCCGGATGGGTATGAACGGACACCAGTCGCAGTGGCTGGCGGTCCAAGTTGGTCCGTGGAGACGCCTTGGTGGGCGGATTTGGTGGCATCGGTGGCATCGGGGAATGAGAAGAGCCCCAGCCGGAGGAGCCCCTAGCTTCTTAGTCTGCGAGTCTAAGGAACCGTCATGCTTCCCCGAAACGAAGGGAGCAGGAAGAAGGGTGTGGTGGAACCGGGAAGCCGGGGAAGTGACAGGGTATAATGAAGACGAGAAGATGTGTTTGAGAGAGAGACGCACACGGTAAAAGCAAAGCAAAAATAAAAATAAAAAGAGAGTGGGGGGTGAGAGGGGACAACGGTGACTGAGAGGTACGAACACATCATTCTGGTCTCTCACCCCCACCATCACCGGTGCTGGCGCGGTGAGTTGGAGGCCGAGTGGTGACAGACAGTCACTAGGTCAGAACTGTAACGACGCAACAACCTAATCGTGTTAGCCTCATAATTAGCACCGGTACGTGACAATGCGAAGCTTTTCCGGCTGCGCATCGTTCGGTTTTTGGTGTCGAGTGTACCTTGGTCAGGGCCGAGGAGAATCTCTGCCACTCACCGTCTTTTCTTATCCTTTTAACTTCCTTCTTCTGTTCGGACGGCAGTGAGAAGGGGTGCCTGCCCCTTGCAAGCACTTGCATAGCGTATGCCGTGTACGGATAAACCAGCTGATAATTAATCCATCATGACAGAAGACGGGCGGAGCACCCCGTGCTCTGGGCGCCTGTCAGGGCTTGGGAATAACCGAACGAGTTATGGGAAGACCATGAACGGGCGAAGAGAGGCGGGGGACGACCATGGAGAGAGAGGCAGTAAAAAATGAATAAAAGTAAAAAGGAGAAAAAAAAAATGGTATCAGTGCCGTGTTACAACGCTTCCTTCCCAGGATTCAGGAGGTGCCCGCCCGTAGCCCCAACGACACCGGAAGCCATGAGAGTGCACGCGGCCGTCCAGGAGTATGAACATGGGGCAGGGAGCAGGGTCCGGGATCAGGGGTTCCCAGACCAAAAAGTACTATGTATATATCCCTGTCCCAGACGCAAGCTTCTGTCCTCGAACTCAAAATCGACGAGGAAGCCCCGTTTCCTTTCTTACAGAGAGGGAGAGAAGGGAGAGAGAGGAGGAGAAGAGAGAGAGCAGAGTACATCAGCTTCGTCATCACCTTCCACACCTAAATGTGACCTCACCTCCACCATCTTCTCCGCCGTCACCTCTTTTTTTGTGTTTTTTTCCACAAAGCTTTGCGCTGCTTGTGTCACATATACCAGAAACTCAAGCCCCCCCCTGAGTGTGCTCATGGCCAGTAAATTATTGAGCAAGTGTATCCGTACAGATACGGGGCTCGTGTATTCCAACCCGGCCAGATCGGTGTTCGCCCAATGGTTGTTCGCAGATCGGCGTTTGCCCTTGGCGGGCACTGACTAGGAACAGTAACAAGGGCACCCGCCCCGGAACTCTTCTCGAGAATGCAGACGGACGGCAGGATGTGCGAGCGCCGACAGGGTCCATCTGGTCCAGAGACGTTCTTGACCAGCCCGTCGGGTCCAGTTCCAGTATCCCCCGGGCCTACCGCAGCCTCTTCTGCCTTGTCTTTTTTTTTTTTTTTTGCCCGCCGTCGACACCGTCCCTGTCCCTGTCCCCTCTCCCTCCCCCTTTTTCTCAGTATTCCGTATGGACGCTTTGATTCATGTCCACCACCTATCGACCCGTCTGAGACCGACAGTCGGGCTCCGATTCTGACGCATGGACGCTGCTTGACTGGATCGGGGGGTTGGGGAGAAGAAGCCCATCCGTGTAAGTCCATTGGAGACCAGCGATCCGTACCCAAGCCTGATCATTCATGATGACGCCCGCGAATCTCTGCTCCGCCACTCGAGTGTTAGGTACCTTGCCTCACGGCAAGTTTCCCGAGTCAGTCTGGATTCGTATTAGCGCCACTGGTATCGGTACACCACCATCGACGGCACGCTGATGAGCGGTCAGCAGCAATCCGGCCCTCCCACTCAATCACTGTCCTTTCTTCATGTTTTTGACCCCGCCAGCTTGGGTCTGTTTGCCGTAATTCGGAAAGAGACATAACATCAAGCCCTGGCTGGCTACAATGTTTCCTCTTCCAAGACTTTACAAATCCGAGTCTCGCCCCTCCCCTCAACATACGCGCAGCATTGCGACCCAAACCGTTCGTGTCAGCATAGCTCGAGGTCGGCCTCCAATGACACCCGAGATGGGGGACGCAGGATGCCTCTGCGAGGATGCTGCGAGTCTCGGCGGAGCCCGCATACCCAGCCATCCCCGGCTTGCTTGCCAGCACCACCATCATCTGTCAATATGCTAGCCGATGTTTGAGGCTGACGACGTGTTCCTGCAGATCAGAACCCTCACAGGCGGTCCAATTCGTCCATGATCAAACTTGCCAGCGCCTTTGCATCTATCGGGGGGGCATACGGTTTCTTCTCGATCCTTCCCTGCCCCGCGAGGCGCCGCCAACGCAGCAACGGCAGCTAAACCATTTCAGAAGCAAGCTTGCGTCAAACATACGTCTCCCGCCTGTGTCTCACCTGAGCTCGATACAGGCAGAGCAAGTAAAGATACCCGAAATGAGGATGCTGCAGCTCTCCACGGCAATGCTGCCGCTCCATACATTAACATCTCCTCAACCGAGCTACGTGTCGGCGACGGGGCGGTGATTTTCCTTGGCCAAGTATACCACATTATCTCTTTGATGGCGGCTGGCTGCTTTCTCCCGTCCTGGTTCAGGTCCACGTGGACCATGACCATATCCTTTGCTACCTGCCATCGACCGCTCGGTTGGCGGCATGAAATCAAGACCGCCTCAATGATCGTCCTTGCATGGATCGGAAGCATGCAAGCAAACAGCACAATGGGCAGCCATGGGGCTTGTACATGCAGTCCGGATCGAGGAGGGTTGGTTCAGGCCGATATCTGTCTGGACACCAGCAGCTCGATGACAACCGGCGGCGAAGACCAGCAAATTGTCCTTCTTAGACCGAGTTGGTCGCCTCGTCAGGGAGGAATCTCAATGCTTGACTGGGCGGGGAAAGGGCCCTTGCAAACTATTTGGAGGCTACACCATGAGGAAGCCAGGCACTAGATAGGAGTTGGAGACGCGCCTCGATGCAGAACCATTCGCCGACGCACTTCATCGACCCACGAAGCTCAATCGACAGTCAGCGATGTCGGCGAAGAAGCGGATGAGACCCTTGATGGGAGTTGACTTGTGGCGTGGGGGAAATAACAACAACAACGACAACAACGACAACGGGTATAACCGTCAACGTCTTATCGAATAGAGACGGTCTTATGCTGGGCATGACCTGCAGTCATGCTCATCATCGTCTTCGCCGAGACAGAGAGAGTTCGCAAATCTGCTGTCTACCAAGGTTGGTTGGGTTAGTGCGCGTCATGGACCTTGCATTGTTTGCCAGCCGGAAGAGGCCCGCAGGCCAGCCTCGATGACAATCAAATATCAGCCCAAAAACCCACGCCCATGCCGCCGAAAGTCCCCGCTCCCGCGTTGCGGTGGGCCTTCCGTGTATGACGGGCATGTCGGGCTCCATGCGGCCGCTTAAAGAGGGTTGCATTTGGGCTTCCACACACGGGTTTCTCTGCCTCCGGTCCGGCATCGGCCACCAGTGGTCAGGCAACGTGCCTGAAATTGGATTACGAGCCGCAGGACATTAAGACCAAGTGCCAAACCATATCCCTGGAAGTCGAACCCGCGTTGTTCAACAAATAGATAACGGTACGAAAAGCCCCATAGAGCCGTCAGATTTGGGGGGGTTGGATGAGGCGGTATCGATACCAAGCATACTTATCCAATCGTCAGTTGTGGCACGAAGAGGTGTGTGTTGGCCAACTGGCAGGCGGGCCTGAATCGACCCGGTGTGTGTGTGTGTGTGTGAGTGAGTGTGAGGCCGGCGGAAGCATTGGTCGTT